AGAAAGAAAATACATTTATTAGTCATAACACAAACACAGCCAAAAAAGGAATTACAGATATAACATAGAAGAGAAAAAGAAAAGAAACAATTTGTCAACTGAAGAATAGCACAAACAATAACCAAAACAATCAAGTACAAAAGAATAAAATGATCACTGTGTGTGACTAAAGGGCCACAACTCAGCCTATGCTATGGTCCCTAAAAGTGACCAGAGCGCTGATTTTCAGCTGAAGCCCAAAGGTACCTCACGGACGTGTGCACAGTTCAATTACAATAAACAATATGTGAATACAATAAACATACAAATAAAAGTGATAATTACATACATTAATTACATAACATACATTCTGTTAATATAATAATGATATCAAATAACTAGTTAGTTGGAAATTGATAGATATAAGAGCAGAGAACAATTATTTTTTTATTTATTAAATAATGTTAGCAACATTGCGAGGACTAATTTAATGTTCTAAAATATAATTTTCAGAAATAAAGACCCCTGCGACACAGGATATATTCCTAATGCGGTAGTTGTAAAAAAAAAGATTTCTTTATTCAAATGAATTTAACTATGAACGGGATGAACTCTAAAATATGCAGTAAGCCATAACGCTTGTCCCATGTCCGTAATTCTCATTTCCCATGGTTGATAGAGATTTTTTCCCAAGTATTCGCTAATTAATACCGATACTTAGAGATCAACTTAGAAGCGAAACAATAACATTACTGGAAAAGTAAGCTTGATATCTACTGTGCCTACCTCGGTGGTGCAGTGTGCTGAGATCTCGGGTTCGATTCTCGGGTCAGACCAAATCTTTGTGTTGTATTGTTTGGGTGTTTTCTAAGTATAATATGTATGTATTTACAAAAAAAAAGTATATAGGTATTCTATTAGTCAATCTAGTTTTCATAGTGCAAGCTCTGCTTAGTTTGAAACTAGATGGCGTTGTGTGTTACATGAAACTTATCTACTATATAACATTTTGTTCGTTGGTCTTTCGAGCCTTGAGTTTTTTTTAATGGTATGGGTCAAACAACTATTTATAAAGGTCACCTGATGGTAACTAGCTTTTGCACGTGGCTCCGCCCGCATGTTTTTTGGTTATCGGGGTAAAAAGTAGTATCGGTTAAGCGGTAACTTTCGCATGCATAATATTAATAGCAATACTAGATTTAATACTTCAAACAAAATATTAGAGAGGTGCACTTAATGCCAAAGGCATTCTCTTTCTGTCTACCTTTACGGTAATGTAGAAATGAGCGAAGTAAGTGTATTAAAGAGTATACGAACAAGAGTATTACGTTTAAGTCATCATCATAATCAACAGCTTTTACCAGTCCACTGCTGGACATAGGCCTCTCCTTAGAAAGGAGGTTTTGGCCTCCTGTACCACGCTGGTCAGACGGGTTGGTATAGGGTTTGTTTCAAGTTTTCCTTCTCTTTGCAGTGCTATTGTCCTGTGTAGTTTACTCCCTTAGTCGGTCTCCCTATTGGGGTGGTGACACTCCGTATTCTTAATCTGTCACCACTCGAACAGGTGGGAGGGATTAATCCCAATATCGAAAGACAAATCCTTCTGTTTTTTTTAATAGATCATGAAACCAAATATGATTGTTGTGTGTGTGTCAAGAGTATTAAAAGGAAACTGAGGATTTTGTTTTTATAACAAATCTGTCTCGTTAACATTTACTAGTATAAAGGAACGTGTATTAATTTATTTATTCGTGTTATACGATTATACCATACCGTACGATTATACACATCCATACTATACAATGCGTAGTTAAAATACCTGGAACATTCGCTAATTTAATTAAACAGTCAATGGAAATTGTTGTAAGAAGAATTCGTTTTTAATGACATAGCATACTTGTACTTAGTTGGTGGAAGTCTAATCCCCTTAATCGTACCAGTCCTATTATGGCATTGTTTGGTTTATTGGGGTTCAGTGTATATATAAAAATGTTAAGTACGTGCAGTGTAGTGTGTACGCTTAAAAAACACAAAAGTTATTTCTTTTTAAAGCATTTCCCGCATTAGGGATATATCCTGAGTCTCGGTGGACCTTACAAACATACATGAAACGGACACAAAGAACACCTAGACTCAGGACAACAATTTGTGGATCACACAAAGTGTCGTACCATGTGGGGATCGGACACACAACACTCAGCGCAGTAGTAAGCGGCGTGGCGAACGCTTAAACCACTACGCCATTCGTCCAGTCAAGTTCTGCACCGTTTGAGATCACGGTGTACAACTTCCTTCCAAGATTATTTTTATCTATTTTTAGCGTCAGTGTTGTTCCTCATTTCTCAACAATACAATCACAATGTGACACAGCGAAGCGTGGCAGAGTACAGCTGGTTAATAATAAATCTCATTTTATTTTCAAATAAACTCAAGTGTTATATTTAGTCAGTGACAGTTGAGAAAAAAACTTTGAGATAGGAAAAAACCATTGAACTCGCGACCCTGTTACCGTTACCGACACCTCTGTATATAAGTTTTCACTTCTGACTTCTGGCATTTCCGGAATGAAACTGTTTTTTATTTGTGTCGGGTTTTTTTTATCTTAGTATTAAACACAAGTTTGTTGCCACCCTTTCAGTCCCTCCCACTAGAATCGGGGAGTTTGGGCTCCGGTAACCCCACTGGTTTAAAAGCATCAGAGCATATCGTAACGGAGTACCCGTCATACTTTCAACCATACAAGGTATGCAATACTGCGGTTAACAGAAAAGGGGTCCCAAAAACAATCGTTTGCTATGACATTAGCGCAACCCCTTTTAGCACCTACTTTTTTTTCCGTGCGGTAATCAGCTCGTATACCACCTATCGGTGGCATGTCGGACACGAGCCGACTAAAACCGCACGCCGTCTCGGGTACTAAGCCGGGGAACCAGGTATACCCTAGAAAGGAAGTCCCTGGTGCCCCGACATACCTCGGGCCATCTACAATAGGTAGACGACCCCCAACCCATATTAGTAACCTGCCAAAACACTATGCTACTAACACTATACTACTATAACACCCCCCCCCCCCCCGGGTGGGAACCCCCAGACCTAATACCGGGCATCGAACCCGAGCCTCCTGGGTAAAAGCCAGGTATCCTAGCCATTAGATCATAAACACCTACCTGGAAATGTCGGTAAATTCATAATCACATCAACAGCCTTTAATAGTCCACTGCTGGACATAGGTCTCTCCTTAGAAAGGAGGTTTTGGCTCACTATACCACGCTGGCTAGACGGGTTGGTTCATAATGGAGGTAGTAAATTGGAAAAACCAAGAACAATGTATAAATCTATTATTTGATCAGACAGATAAAAGCTAAAGAAGAAAATGATTTTAGTGAGCAAAGCCTGTTCAACTGATTAAAGCAGCCGCACATTGTCAAGTACGTGGAAAAAACAATTATTAAACAAACAGAAATAGGGATCTAATAAACCTCATATACAGTAAAAGTCACACAGAGAGAAATATACATTATTTGATGGCACGGGTGAGGCAAGTTTTTCAAGTTGTCGGAAAAGCGAACATCTGGCAACGCTTAGGTGACATTAAATGAGTTTTGACAATACAACAGCTGTATTTCCTTTGCTAGCTACCATCCATCGAGTTAGGTTAAAACTGTTATACTTTTTGTTACTTTTATTTATGTGAATAATATTTAATGTAATGAAAAATAAGTAAACGTAATAAAACGTTATTTTTATTACTCTGTTTATTTACAGTTGCCAACACCATTTGCATGTTTTTTTATATTCATCTCAGGTAAATTAAAGAATTTACCTAAAACCAACGTTATAATAATGACAGGGATGTTTCAAAAATATCCGTAAATAGACTAACCCAAATTTTATTGACATTAATAACACACCCTGTCTATCCAAATATAGCGAAGCGACCGAGCGCCACCCGACCGGTCAGTGCGTGCGCCCTAGACTGTGGTATTGATCCCACCACCTGCTTGCTCGCCACCACTCCCATTCGCTCCACTTACTTCTTCTAGTCGGCCATCGCCCCGCGACACGATAATACATTAAATAAAATACAACCAAGACGCCATTTAAAAATAAATTACTGATTTTGGCGCGTTTTCGTGTTCGAATTTCAAATTGTGCCGCGAATATTTTATATTAGTGTCAGATTCGATTCAAACAATTGTTTTTTTTTTTAAATCACGTGTTTGAGATGTCTAGTTTTTTAGTGATAAAAAAGTGTTGTTAATACTTTGCACGCATAATTGTGCTTACAATGAAGTGACTCACGTCGACCTGGATGTTAGCAGTCAGCCATTATCTCATTTAAAGCGTTAATAGCGTTATTGCGCCTGTTTACCGGTATAGTTACAGCTAAATTGTACTGAACGTTACATATCATCATTGTCTTTTCAATATGAAGTGACTGACGCGACTGATTAAACAAGAATATTAAGAAATAAATAGCAAAATTAATTGCTTTCTCAACATACCGTTGCAACTAAAGTACGCAAAAAAGGAAATTATTATCAACCGTCCATCAGATGCAAATTATCGCGCCACTTATAGACCCCCTCTAGTTGGAGAGAGATAGAAATATCCTCATCTCGTCTGGCACACTAACCCGATCGAGCGTAATAACAGATTTTTCTTGTATCCACCTATCTATCAGCTGTTGTTAGCGTCCGGCCGCGTCAGATAGTACATGTTTTTCACTGTACGGGGGAAATGCATAAAAATTTACGTAGTATCGCGTCATAGAGGTATTTTGTATATGTAGTGAGTCAGACAGGCACCGGTAACGCGAGCGCTGACAGTAACAATTACTTTTTTTATACGAATAATTTTCTAAATCAGAAAACCGCGCCTGTGTCTAGAAAACGAAACGCAGGGATTTTTTATCGATTCTATTTTCGAATTTCGAGTGTATTGACCGTTTTTGTGTGGTGTTTTTTATAGTGCTGTGCTTTGTGAGATGTGATTCGACTTTTTTGTATTTTTTTTTTATAATGGAAAGAAGTGTTTTGGCGGAGCCGAGGCACGTTCAGTGGGCTTCTGAAGTAAGTACTTAGAAAACAAATATTGATTACCTTATTTTTAGAGTAAATTTATTGCATTTACACGTTATACACTATACAACACTTGCAATTTAAAAAAAAAAACGTTTTTAACGTTAGCGAGAATTCTTTAAATTATGAATTCACTAATTAATACCTTATATTTATAGAAAATTAAATATAAAAATAGGTAATATTATATTTTTAATCACTATAAATACAATTTCTTCATCATCTAAAGTCACTGGGAAACCCGAGAATTTCGTTATTGGGACGGATACGATACGAATTAGCAATTCACCCCTGCGTTGAATAACCCCAAGAATTTTTAAAAGCGGGAATCCCTACGATACATTTAATGTACTACGCTCATTGAAATGCCCTCGTTTGAATATTTTTTTAAGTATTGTCACTCTTTGTAAAGCCTTTATTACGTTAAATACATTATTGCTATCCCCTGTTTTTAAATTTGACTTTATAATTCTTCAAACTCAAACATCTTTATTTCATAAAAAAAAATAGAAATCGTCTCCTGGGTAGACTCTAAAGTCATAGATCAACACACACAATAGCAACAATCTCTGTTTTGTCAAATACTTAGCAAAATAAATATAATTAATAAAAATAAAAATGTCAATTCAATCTTTAATATATTGAATTGTAATTTTTATTAATACTTTTTTTTATTAGTGTAGTCTATTTAAAGATATATTAGGCACATTGTCTATGCTTATATTGTTATATCTATGTAAATGTAAATATTATATAAAATTAAATCTATACCTACAAATATAATAAAGCTAAACAGTTTTTATTGTTTATTCAAATCTCTGGAACTATTCGTTAGATTTGAATGATTTTTATGTATGGATTTGGTAGATTTTTTTTTTATTCACGCTACTAACTATAGGTAACTGCGAGGAATGCTATAGGTACTATCAAAACTATACAATGTAGAGAATATAAGAGTTTATAGTTATACTACGTAATTGTGTAGTATTTTAATAAGTTTTTTAGGTAAATGGCCGCGCTGTGACTTTCTAAAAGTACCTTTGTATAGTAAGCGTCACGTATCTTGAACTAAAATGTCAACTACGAAAGATTAGTCACTCGTCATCATTTAAAATGGTTGGACATGTTTTTTGTTCATTATTACATGGCAACTTACATCTATGTAATGAACGATATTTGTCACTGACATGCTTAACGTTATTCGTTGTACTTAATTGTAACAATTACACAGGAATTTCCTTATTTTAAAAACAACGCCGGCCATTTTTAAACAATAATATTCTCATAAACCCTTTAAGTTATAATAATATTCCATATTTAAAAACGTGGGCGAGCTATACTTCGGAATAAATTGGCAGGCTGGACCGGAGTAATACCATGGCCTCACAGAAAACCGGAATTAAGCAGTTCTTTCCTTGCTTTTCGCTGGATGAATGAATTTTGTCGGAGGACCAACCCTCTTCCAATTCTTTAGGGTCACTCAAAGGTCCATCTACCCGCCGTAGGTGGCCCGAGGTACGTCGGGGTAATAGGGATTTCCTTTCTAGGGTACACCTAGTTTCCCGGCTACTAGTTCGGTTCTAGTCCGACATAGCCACCAGTATCCGAGGGGATTTCAGAAAAAAAAAGGTCACTCAAAGACCGAGTTGCACCACGGGCTTCCACTTACTATCAGATGATCCGTCTGTTCCTTTGCTCTCTATAAATACCATACAAAAAAAGACATAATAATTAAAAAGCAAATACGTGGTTTACTACCACTTACTTACTTTAGTTATGCATTTTTTTTTTATTTTGGCTGTATGCATGCGACCTTTGTCAAACTTCGCGTGTGAAACAGTGGCTTTTAAGTATGAATTATAAATGTGAATGGGATTTTTATAAGCGCTCGCACCCACACAGAAGTTCGTATGAAATTATAATCTGTGGTGTATTGTTTTCGTAATCTGTAGAACAATGGTGGAATCTTTGGTTTTATATTGTTTTTCGTCAAATAATGTAGGTATTATGTTAGCTCATTTTGTGAGTTTTACTTTCAGTTCTTTACTTTGAGGTCAATTTAATTAAATTGTTTAATTAATTTTAGAGCCTAACGGGCATAACATATTTATTCAGAATACACTAATGTATGTATAATAATATATACTTAACTGTATTCTGAACGGACGGTACCCAGATCATCATCCCAGTCACCGATGGTCACGGGTATTGGTCACAGAACTTACTCCATATATTTAATATAAACACTGCATATTTTTAAACACAAAAGCCGGTATGACTCCATTTCGTCTAAAAACAGAATTTATTTTTAATGTAAAATCCTTAATCCGTTCACATTTTTAAAATAGGAACACTCGTTTCTGACTTTTCTCTTCAACCAGGGCTACCAAACATAAAATTAAGATTCACCTGAAAATTAATTTAATTAAATGTTGCAAATTTAGAAGTAACGGCTTTTCTCTATACGACGTTATAATATAATAATTTGACGAACATCACACCAAGGCTGGCCATTGACCCTCACAGTTACTTAGCTGTAATTATAAAAGCTTTGCATTAATGTTTGTCTAGACATTTAACAGCCTAAAGTGATTATAGGAAGCCAGAAAAATTCTGACCAGTCTAGGTTTAAGCCCCATTGGATAAAAATAGTGGAGGTCGTATGATAAACTTGAACGTTATTATGTGTTGTCTATTGTTACATAATACTTAGATACGCAACGACTAACCTTATCTATACAAATAATAAATAAAATTGAATTGTATGTTTGTGATGTCAAAACAATAGGTCTTTTCATGATCACACTGTTATTTGCACGATACCTTTGCCTAAAAACCAGTTTAAGTGTCTTTTGTCTGTCTGTCTGTTTGTTTGTGCTGGGTAATCTTCTAAACGGCTGGACCGATTTTGATAATATTTTACTACCAGGTTGCTGTCTATATAAGGAGTAACTTAGGCTATTTTTCCTCTCAGGAAAACCTTATAAAATTTTGCCTGGTACTGAAATCGGACCCACTAAGGCAGCGCTTTTCGAATTCCACGCAAACGAAGACGCGGGTGCCAGCTAGTCGTTACTAAAAAGTTATAAAACAATGTCTTTTATATTAAATCTTCTCTGAAGACTGAAATACAGCTACCATTAAAATTAATACAGCACTTTTAAAAATAGATGAAAGCAGTCATAAAAATATTAAAAATATACTGTTAGATGTTGTTACATGAAAGACATACGATCGAGGCACTTTAATATTAAGTGGAGTTATCAATTAAAATGTTATGAACACCTGCATACACTGCCATGCAATCTCTTTTTATAAGTTTTTCATTTCGTTTACTGGTTTTATTCTTAATAAATAATACACTTGAAAAGAGATTAGGTAATTCGTAAATTGGTTTGGTGGTTAGTAAGCCAGGGGTCGTAGGTTCGATTCCTATCCAGGACAAATCATTTTGTTATGAATACGAGTGTTTATTCTGTATCTGGGTGTAATATATATGAATTTAGATATATACTAGCTGAGACCCGCGGTGTTAACCGCATTTGTTGTTATAACCGCGGGCAACGCCGCGGGGCGAAGCTAGTCTAAACAAAAGTAGCCTAAGTTGCTCCTTATGTCATCAGCTATCCGCCAGTGAAAGTCCCGTCGAATTCGGTCCAGCCGTTCCAGAGATTACCCGGAACAAACAGACAGACAGACAAAAATTGTAAAAATGTTATTTTGGCATATGTACCGTGTAAACATACATATGCATTTAGTAAAAAGCGGTTATTTTAATATTACAAACAGACACTCCAATTTTATTTATTTGTATAAATAATTATGTTTATCAACAGTTTGGTTTCCATTATGGATGGCTAGATATACGATGAACTAGCTATATAAACTATGGTGCTGTAATTCGACCATTCGTTTTGTCTTCCATTACATTGCCGATTATAACTGTTCTTGTGTAATGATAACTATGTATGTTACGTTACGAACGCGCAATGTATTATCTTATGGTACGTTATTGTTTATAACCGCTATTACTTCATATCAACGGATTAAGAAGTAATCTTTAGACAATACCCACTACCATAATACCTATTGGCTTTAGATCGCGGCTCTGCCCGCGTGTCTGTTATCGCGGTATTCTTTTTTAAATCGGTTGAGGTGTTTACGTGTGAAAGGTTAACAAACAAACAAACACAATTTACATCTATACTAATATTATAAAGCTGAAGAGTTTGTTTGTTTGAACGCGCTAATCTCATTAACTACTGGTCCGATTTGAAAAATTCTTTCAGTGTTAGATAGCCCATTTATCGAGGAAGGCTATAGGCTATATATCATCACGCTAAGACCAAAAGGAGCGGAGCACCAATGAAGAAGGTTTCAAAAACGGAGAAAATTTATTACTATTGAGAGACGCAGACGAAGTTGCGCGGGTCAGATAGTTTATAATATAAGTATGGATGGTTGTTACTTAGATTGCATAACAATATTTTTGTAGATACTTAAGCTACGCACAAGTTTGATTTTGATTTACAAAAATTTCGTGAAAATTTAAAAGTTTTCACTTATGTTTTTATGGCATAGGACCAAATGAGCAAACACAAACGGCAGGCAAACGCCTATGGACACCTCTAGTGCCCATCCTAGACTTAGGGGGAGGGAGGAGCGGGTGTTGGGCGTTCGTTCACCTCAATCGCTCGGTGAAAACCAACAAAAAAAAATACTTAACGACGTTTTTCTGCTAGGCCGCGGTATCACTCCTGTCAAGCCAATTCAATTAACCTTCTTCATAATTCGATTAATCGAGGATTGACATTTAAATAATTAATCTACTTTTCATAATTCATTTTACGTTTATTATTTATATATCAAGTTAAAGCTATTTTTTTCTGTTTAATATGATATACGGTTGCCTAATTACATCTGGCCGCAAATAAGGATTGCTGGCTGTTAAAGATGGTAAATATTTAGAGTGAAAGAGAGTTAGCGAGTAA